ACGACTACTACTACTGCTACTACTCCTACCACTACTGCGACTGCCACGACCACTGCCACTGCTACTGCTGCTGCTGCTACTGCTACTGCTACTGTCACTGCCACTGCTAATGCTTCTGCTATGCCACTGCGATTGCCACGGCTACTGCTACTACCACTGCTACTGCTACCGCTTCTGCTACTGCTGCTGCTGCTGCTGCTGCTACTACTACTACTACTGCTTCTGCTGCTAATGCAACTGCTACTGCTACTGCCACTGCTACTTGTACTGCTGCCATAAGCTGTAGACCGCAGCGGAATTCGGCATATTGCTCAGTGCGGGCTTCATTGTGAGAGGGGGCACATAAAGCAAGGTGCTACATTATCCCAAGCCCTTCAGGAGAGATAGGGCCTTCCCAGCCTTGACCCATACCTTGCAAACCCTGCCTCAAGATGTGTGGGCTGCAAGAGCTTTCGAGCCGAACAGATGTCGGAATCTGTGAGGCGAAAAATTGGGTTCCAGCGATTGTACAGATTCGAAGCGCATGGAGATGTATTTGTTGAACAGTCAGAAGCTTCCCGTCACGACGAGTAAAGCACGCATGGCCGAGGTCTATGGAAGACGTATAAACGGGTAACTGAGACTTCCACATCAGAAAGATAGTTTCACTTTCGGCCCTGGTCTCACAAACATGGCGTTCAAAGTAACCTCAGGGGCTGGAGCCCTCAAACCTAAAGTGGGCGTTGAGAATCCCGTGCGCATGGCCCTAGCAGGTTGCCACGCTTCGCCCCTGTGCGGTTTATATCATCCTGCTGCAGTTGTTCTGAAATGCCTACTCAGAAGGAACAAACTGTAATGTTCTCGCAGAAATCCTACAGAGAAACTCTCCAGCAAATCTTCCAACATCCCCTGGTGGCCCTGTCCCGCGTACCTTGCAGTCTCGCGCTCTTGGCAGGGCCGCTGCCTCTACTTCTTGACCCTGAGAATCCCAGACTATAACTAACCAATCTTCTTTGAGGTTTCGGCTTCCGGATTGTCGGGCTTCAAGGCTCGCAATACATGTTTGCCTACTAAGGTCACAGGGCAATGATTGATTTCTTGTCTTGGTAGCCGAGACATTTCCCGCGTCATCGTAAAATCCGCTAAATAGTCAGTGCTACTGTTAATGCAGACAAAGTAGCACCACATGCCACATAGGAACAAGCTATCAGCTATCAACAGAGCCGCAACCAAATCAACAAACCATTTCAGAAAGTTGCAACGAAAACTTGGTGAGAGGTCGATGTTGCTTCAAATTGGTATGGAAGTCCAAGTAAACGACCGGATAGCCAATGCCAGAACCTTGCTGTTGACGATGCTCGCGCTTTGCTACAACTGCGAACCAGAGGCTTTCTGGAGATGCTATCAAAATTTGCTGATGTTTCGCAACTTGGTTAGACATTGACATGCTGCTGCACGTCACAGTAAGGTGACCTCACATGCTCATGGAAGTTCACAAGAGTATGAAACTGCTGTCGTATTGGTGGTGGTGTCGCTGCTGCTTGGGTGCCGGATGACCATAAACTGAATCAGGATCGAGCAATAACTTCAGCCCCACGGATCAAAAAACAAAGGATCAACAAGAACCCATGTCCCACTTGGGGACGTAGGGGCAATGGGGTGCGGGCACCCAGATAGTCGTAGTCGTAGCAGTGGTAGTAGTAGCAGTAGCAGTAGTAGTAGTAGTAGTAGTAGTAGTAGTAGTAGTAGTACTAGTAGAAGTACTAGTAGTAGTACTAGTAGTAGTAGTAGTAGTAGTAGTAGTAGTAGTAGTGCTAGTAATACTTCGTAGTCGGTGACTGGCAAATAGTAATTAGTGATTGGTGGTTGGCCGCCAGTAGTAGTAGCAGTTAGTAGTTAGT